CGTACTGATATAAGGTTTCATGTGGCTCAGGCTGGCCTTTGAACTCCTGATTTTCCTGCCTCCACTTCTATACTGTTGTCAGGATTTCAAGTATATATCCCCATACCTGTCTTTTAAGGTCTTTAAAGTTATAGTTATATCTTCAAATAATAAAACAGTTAAGATTACTTTTGTTTGGAGACAGAAGCTCGGTCTTTAGGCCTGGTTGGTCTAGAATTCTTTATATAGGATAAGGCTGGTCTCAGATTCACAGAAATAATCCCCCCCTCCCTATGCTGGAATTAAAAGTATGATGGGTTATTTTTAAGAATATATTTCACCAGTTTTTCTTCACTTGGTATTTATTTTAGTTGTTAAAAGTGACATAGTACAATGTCATGAATGTAATTGAAACAAGAGGTCTATTTTTGTGGATGAGTTTCTGTTATATATTCATTCCTGTGACACCCAGTGGGCAACACTGTGTTCTAACTCTAGAGCTTTTTAATGAAACCAGTTAACTTTTACTTTAACAGTAACTGTACATAACTTAATTGACCTTGGTCTCTTTATGGCTTCCCATAAGGCCTTTCTGGAGCAATGCATTCTCAAGTGTTCCCTCACGCTCATTTTGGTAGGTGGCCACAACTAGATTTCTGTGGCAATTTGTCTAGCTGCTTGTGGAAGCTTCTGCTAGTGTTCTGGATCCTTGCATGTGAAATTTTTTTCCATGTTTTAATATGGAGTGGTCATGGATGTGTGGCATCAAGGTCATGTTGTATTTAAAGTAACATGAAAATCCTATGTAATGATTCATGTTTTAATACTGAAAAGCATTATTGCTTACCTCCATGGTCACAGTAGAATAATAGCAATTTTGATTATGTTTCTTACGTTTAAATTCATAGTACTTTAAGTGATACCTTTGATGTACCAAATCATTTCCTGCTTTATCTCATGGAGTTTGGTTTTGCCCAACTGTCCAAGCTTTGCTTTGAGTGCTTTCAGCAGTGACATGTCAGCTGCATCAGTGCATTTTGTCTGCAGTGAAACCCTCCCATCTCCCTTGCAATGTGCTCAGGCTTTCTCTCATTCACTTGCTTCCCAATAGCCTGGTCTTTTCTCCTCCTTTTCTTTCCCCCTCCCTGTCAATTAGTAAAGAAAATAAGAAACAAAAAACTGTAGTCTAATTAGGTTCCTTGAGAAAATTTGCATTGTCCTAAACATTAGGATTGCTGTGAGTTGAGAACTTGTCAGTTTGTTTGGTAAGAACATATAATGGAGTGTTCTTAATATTTAATTTCTTGGCCTTGAATCAGTCACCTTTTGAAGTCAGGAAATTCAGAAAGCAAATTGATAGGCTTTTACAGCATTACATTACATTACTGTCACTCGTTAGACTAAGTCCTTCCCTATAGCAAGCATCTCATTGGATCATGGGAAGTTGCTGTTTACGTATTTCCTAAAAGTTACTCACACAGCCTTCTGCTATTGCACATCTTTAAAGTGGGAATTTGTTGATAAAAGTGCTTGTTTATGTATGATGTAGGCATATCACATAATCACTGGTGATTCCCACATAGACTCCAGCTCATGCTCTACACTCCAAGCAAAGCAAGCCAAGGAGGAGCTAGTAACAGGGACACATGACCCATGTGCCTGGTAGTCTTCATCTCTTCTAAAAATGCCCTTTGCACTTCTTTTCCAATCTTCGTGCATTTATGCCAACTTCTAAAGCTCATCAATCCCACATATCCTCCAGAGTTGTGAAATGGGAGTGTAGAAGTATGTATTTATATGTGTATGTCTATATATTGTGTATATATACATATTTTAAAGCTGTATATATACACACATATAGGACTTACTATGTCCTTTTAGTTGCATTAATGTTTTGAATAGAATTTTTTTCTTTGTCCTTGGCTGTAATTATAAAACTGTAGTTTTGAATGTTTTGCCTTTCACCCTAGTTGCCCTATAAATCCTATTATTTTTAATGAACTCTTTTGACGAGGTCTTAAATTTTTTTCTACAGAAATATGAACCTTAGTAATTAAAGTTTGGTTGTTGTTTCAAATTAGATACAGGAGAACAGCCTCAAACCCAAGATGTGTACACTCCTGTACACATCAGAGCTGTACACATCAGAGTATGACTGGCTTCTGAAAGCAAGCATCTGTTTGACTTTAGATGTTTTCATAGGGAAGATTGTGGGGGGATTTCAAATGATAGCTAAAGTAATTGCTTTCTGGTCACTGCATTTCAGAACAAAATTTCTTAGGTTATATTATAAATACAGTATTCAGTGCTAATCTGTACTGACTTTGTCGGGATTTGGGGTTTCAGATGCCCTTACCGTGTGGTTTTGTGTTTTCAAGGTAAGTGCCGTATACTCCACACTGTAACTGCTGTGTGTCTCTGATCCACCCTTCTTCTCTTCTTGTCAGCGGCAACCTTTGGCACTGCATCCATGAGTATGCCAGCAGGGTTTGGCACTCCTGCCCCATACAGTCTCCCCACCAGCTTCAGTGGCAGTTTCCAGCAGCCCGCCTTCCCAACCCAAGCAGCTTTCCCTCAGCAGACAGCTTTCTCTCAGCAGCCCAATGGTAAGTCAAACATTTGGCTAGCTGCCTGACATCAGTGCCCTTTACATAATGTGATGTTAAGTGCTTGAGACTGTCTTAGTCTTGTGCACTGAGTGTTGCCTACAGTATGTTAGTCATACTGTCAGTGACCATAAGGCTCTTGTTAGTATTGCCCAGTAAGTCCATCTTGTGTTCTCATGTGTCCGTCCTTGGTTTGAAATGGAGATTGTATTTTTGTGGAAAATGGTTCCTGGTGTGTTTCAGATGAGCACTCTACATGGGTGACAGTGCTGACTTGCGGCTTGTTTTTGTAAGAGGCTAGGCGATTCACTCACTCTTTCTTCTTAACTAGTTTCTTCCTTGCTGAAGTTTGAAATCCATACATTTCAAAAATGTCCTTGGATCTCCTACATTCAGTAGTTAGGAAATACAATGCATAGATAGTCATAAATGATAGTCATAAGAAGTACTGTGGTGTTGTGTAGAATCCATTGCACATGACCCCTCCTCAAACAGTCACACGCTCATCAATCAGCTAAATCCTGGAGGACAGTGACCTACTCTGGGCTGATTTCGATTGTTTGAGAACTCTGAGGCTCTTGGTACATGCCATAGGATGTTTGTTCTGCTGTCTGAAAAGACATAAGACCTAATGTTGCATTTCATGTTGTTATCTGGTAAGAATTTTTATGAAACTTGTAAGACTGGGATTCTCTTTTGGTAGCAGTGTAACTTATAAACTGATGTTTCTCTTATTTTAACAAGGTGCAGGTTTTGCAACATTTGGACAAACAAAACCAGTGGTAACCCCTTTTGGTCAAGTTGCAGCTGCTGGAGTGTCTAGTAATCCTTTTATGGTGAGTGAATTTCAGTTTTAGCACCTTAAAAACTAAGTTGTGTTTTATTTATGATCTAGGGAAAACAGAATATGACTAATTCTGCATACAGCTTAGTGTTCTGTTAATATGATGGTACAGATTATGTAAGGCCCTTATAAAGCCTGTAAGAAGTTAGCTGTCAATCAAAGTACGGGTAACAGATTATCTACTTTATAATGTGAAATGCACACACTCCTGTCAGAATTAAACTTGGAGAAGCCATTTGGATTTAGGGAAAAGAAGTTTTAAGAATGATATTTTTTTTTATTTGAACTTAGAGGTCTTCTTTTAAGTGCCAGGTTCCTTTGTAGGCAGTAGTCAGCACAGTATAAAAGAATGTATATGAGAGGACAGTGTAGTCTGTAAAAAGAAGGAGGTGGTTTATAGTTTGTTGACAGCAACAATAAGAAATGAATTGTCAATAAACAATTCTTAACAGAAGTTTGAATGAAGTTATAAATTTAAATACAATGTAATGCTTTCATCTCTTACAAACATCACATGTGTTTATCTTTTCCATGTGTTTTCCAATAGACTGGCGCACCGACAGGACAGTTTCCTACAGGAAGTTCATCAACCAACCCTTTCTTATAGCCTTACACAGACACTCGCTGTACTGGAACGAACTGTTATGTGATCATTACATCTCTCCGCCTCTTGCACTGTTGTCTTGTTTCACTGATCTTAGCTTTAAACACGAGAGAAGTCTTTAAAAAGCCTGCATTGTGTATTAAACACCAGGTAATACGTGCAAAACAGAGGGCTCAGCAACAACTTTTCACTTGTGAATTGGCAGAAAAAGGTAGCGGCATCATGTATGTTAAAAATTGGCTAATATTAAGTTATTGCAGATCCCACATTCATTATGCTGCAGTACTGTACATATTTTTCTTAGAAATTAGCTATTTGTGCATATCAGTATTTGTAACTTTAACACATTGTTATGTGAGAAATGTTACTGGGGAAATAGATCAGCCACTTTTAAGGTGCTGTCATATATCTTGGAATGAATGACAAAAATCACTTGAAGCATTGCTTCTTGAAAGTTGAAAGTCAAAATCGGAAGGTTTATTCATTCTTGAATTTTTCCTTCTAAAGAGCTCTTCTTATACATGGCTAAATTCTTTAAAGATGTGGAGGACACCTGTCTGCGGAATAAAGCTGATCATGTTTTGCTACAGTTTGCAGGTGAACAAATAAATATTAGAAAATATGCTATTGTTTTTGTGTTCTTGCTGCAATGCCTTTACCAAAGTGGCCTTAAATAATGAGTAGTGAGTTGAAAACATCTTGAATTCTTAAAAGACTTCTAGTGACTAACTTTTTTTAAAAGGCCATGTAGAAAATTTATTAAAACTACTAGGACTGCTATATTCAGGACTGTGACAGTGGAAAAGCATTTAAATGTAGCTTGTCAGATACACCATGCTACTTCTAATTTCTCTGCAACGTCATAATTTTGTGAAATTTGTAAATATGGAGAATTTGCATGTATGTGTATTTACAAATATTTTTTAAAGATCTTGAATTCTCAGACTGCAAAAGGCCTATTTTAACTATTTTTTTTTCTGTTCTCCATTTTAATTGTCTTTGAATGTATTGGAAACAGACATGCATTAACTGTGACATGATTGCACCTGAGTTTTTTCTCTTCCCCTCATTTTCTGGACAGACTGATAACTCTCTATGGAACATTTGTGTGTTTGTTTGTTTTGGGGTAAAGAAACAAGAACCCAATGTTACCTTAAGGTGATGAAATACTTTGTGTAAAAAGGTAGCAATACTAAGTTTAGTTTATCTTTTTGTTAATATTCAAATGAACTTGTTTAATTATTTATATGTAGTAATGCCTCGTTCATCCCAAGATAATCTGGCACTCTCATCAAAACGAAACACAACTAAAAGAACTGAAATGATTTAAAAAAAAAAAACAAACAAAAAACTTTGAACAACACCCGATAAGTCATGATTTTGTATGTAGAGCATAAACATTTCTTTGAATGTGAGAGTTTAATAATTAGATAATTTGATTTACTGGTCCATAGCATATTTGTGTTGATGAAAGGAAGGAGTTCAAAATGACAACAGAGAGCATGCACTGCCAAAGGCTGTAGGGACAGCCAGCCCAGTCTAGATGACAGTGATATTAGTACATCTGGTAATGACTCCGTACCATGCAAAAAGCTAAAATTGCATACACAGTATGCAATGCCTATATGAAAGTAATTTTAAAAATTTAAAGCTTTGGTTTTAGGTGATGTAAGCATCAGTTTGCTCAAACATTTTTATTCATATTGGATGCATTTGCAGTGATGGCTATTACCATCATGCTTTAAAGTCTGGGTGTTTACTGGGGCTGCAGTCTGCTGCCCTCCTTAGCAGAAGCTGTGGTTTATATGTACTTGACAAGTGACATGCCCAAGACTCAGCCCTTGCTGAGCAGCCTGCCACAGAGAATCCAGTTATTGCTGCTCAGGCTCAGCTACACTTTGGGCATAGTCTTGAATTCTTTGTACATTTTGGGGGCTTCATCTATTTTCATGGAAGGAGAACTTAAATGTCTTTAAACATCTGTTTGAGATTGTATTAGATTCAAATCAATTCATATGTACAAAAGTTATACTATAATTATAGGCCATTACCCAAATAACCCACCAGGCTTTCCATCTATTAAGTAAATTAAATTAAACAGTTGTTATCAAAATAGTTCAAAGACTATTTTTTTCTAGTAGATCTTGAGTTGTGTAATTAAATGGGGGGACCTGTATTGACTTTCAGTGAGTGTTCATAATCAAAATACAAGTACTTAGATTCAGACCAGCTCCGGTGTGGGTTTTCTCATGATCTTCCTCTTTGGAAAATCTACTTGTTTTAGGCTTAAATTTATTTTGCTTCTAGTTTTAGTCATTGTTTTGAGCATTTGAAGGACAATGCTCAGAGTGATGGATGGATCTTCACTCACCTGGCTTATTGTTCGAAATACCTTTCCTGCTCTGTCTGATCAGAAATGAGTTTGTCATTTATGGTGGCAAAACCTATTTTTAGTTTAAAAACATCTTATTCTTGCTTTTATGACACAAGGAAATGTTTTAAGCTATTTTGAAAGAAGAGAATAGGTTGTCATTTTCTTCCGTAAAATTATTTGTTTTGTAAGTTGGATATCCCTTATCCTGGAGGTACTTTGGTACTAGTTCCTCCTAATCGCCAAGTCGAGAGAGTAACTGCTACTGTCACTGTGCCAGCATTTCTGAAACATGTTTTACATTCATAGTTTTTATAACTGTTGAAAGCACCCAAAGAACTTCTGTTTATGGAACTTAAATATTTCATAAGCTATATTATAACTCAGTACAGAGGGATTTCTAAAACATAACTTTTAAATACAGCTATAATAATGTTAAAATTGCTTGTTAACTTAGATATTTGATGTAAAATAACTTTTCCGAAATGAAAACAAGCACTGTTTATGTTTTGCCCACCTTTTTAATGTCAGGCTTAGCAGAAACTGAGATTTTCATCCTGGTTACCTTCAGACTCTGCGTCACACAGCAGAAAGCACTGAAAACTCACTGTGCACCCGTGAGATCCAAATGGTGAGAAAAGTGCACACCATCTTAGAATTAGTAGAAAAGCAGCTCGACCTGATGCAGCTCTTCACAGGTCTCCAGATACATCTTGACAACACGTCACTTTAAATTTGTGTGTTTCCAGCATGTTTACCTGTGGGAAAACCTGTCCCTTCTGAGCTTTAAGGGATTGTTTGATTTGGATGAAGTGAAATTCCAGTTGAAATCCTAAACTTCTTAACTTCCAGCATGTTTACCTGTGGGAAAACCTGTCCCTTCTGAGCTTTAAGGGGTTGTTTGATTTGGATGAAGTGAAATTCCAGTTGAAATCCTGAACTTCTTAACATTATTAGCTGGTGATGCTGTGGGTGTGGTGTTTTTATACCCTTTGATATATCAGGCTCTTACTGAGTGGTTTTCTTCTATCAGCTCATGTAATGGAATCTACAAATCATAGAACAGGTAAGCTAGTTAGTTTTTATTTTTGGGAGAAGATACTGTTGGATTAAATTGTGCTTTCATATTTAGGTGTGACTAGTTTCTCTTATTTATTTTGAAATTTCAAGTTACTTCCTATATGTCTCAATATGAATTCTTTCGTACTTTGATAAACTAAATACCATTTGCTCTGTAGAGTCTGGGTTTATTGTTTTGTATTTTTCTTTTTCTTTTCTGACAGTGTCAGTGATATAAGTGATGGGACAGTTTGTACCTCAAGTTGACAGTGACTCATTGTGTGGGGCAGCTAACCTTTATTTATGTTGTCTCTTCCCCTTACAGTTTTAAAATTTGCTTTTTAATGGAAATTTAAAAATTGTATAAATTAGCTTATTGTATTGAGTTTATCCTCAAATCAGTTGAACTGTGACTACTTTAAAGCAATGTCATTAATTTGCATTTCATGTGGTTGTTTGAACAAATGAAGATGTGACCAGTGTGTACCCAGGACTGTGCTGGTGTTTCACAGGTATCTTTGAAGAAAAGAACAGGAATCCTGCTTTGTAGCAGCAGGTTCATTTGACTAGCAGTCTGATGTCATGAAATGAATGCGATTCGACAGGAGCACAGGTGGATCTCCCAAGCCCCAGCTAGACCGCTCCAGCACAGCACTGATGTGTGATCCCACAACTCATTCACTAGGTGCATTGTTTATCGGTCCTTTGATGATTATATGCTACTCCGAAAATCTTGCATTTTACAGTGTTAGTGATTCATTCTGTAAGCATCTAGACACTGCTTTACTCTTGAAAGGGCATTATAATTTGGAAATGTCCAAGTGCTGTGAAAGATTTGGAGAAGACAATGGTCTTTTCTGGTGTAGGGCTACACAGGTGTTGTGCTTTCTGCTGCTGTGTGGTCGGTGTAGCACATCTCAAGACTTGAGTGTGAGCCCCGTGGCTGGACTTGGGAAGGACTCCTGTGTCCTACGTGAGTGGGACATGCTCCAATGCTTCCCTTAGCATTTCCACAGGTAGACCTGGAGTAGGTAGAAAAGGTAGGTAGGGCTTTTCTCTGGCATGTTTTCTTTTGACTTAGGATTGTTTGGGCTTTTTTGTTTGTTTGCTTTTTCCCCACAAAGACTTCCACCAAGATGGTGCATCTAATACCTTATCCATTCTGTATCCTATATATATCCATTCTATCTATATCCATTCTATATCCACACATATAGGTGTGTTTTATGCCTATAGTTTCATTGTTTTTGAATCTGTACTTCTCCAGCACCTATATCTCTGGGGGTTAATGAAAGCAGGATGATGTGATTCAGGATTTTGTAAAAGGAAAAAAAAAAATCCTAGACAGAACATTTTATTTGCTGATAAATGTATCCATTTGATCAAATTTTAAATTGATTTTTTTCTCCAGGATCGTGATCATTTGTTATCTAAGTTACAGTCTAAACAAATACTCAGGAGCCTTGTGATTATGACTTGAGGCAGTGGGTAAGGCAGCAAAGGTGTAAACTGTTGTTATATAGTCAATGTTCCTAGAATGTGGTGAGTAGGGTTTTTAAAGGCTTAGAAGTTTTTATATATTCTAAATGACATGCATAGGATTTTTACAGTTGTTCAGTGTACACAGGGTATATGGTAAACACTCCAGGGGAATACATTTTTCAGGAATGCTATCTTTTATTATGTATGTCTGTGTATCTATGCATGCCTTTCATGGTTCTGACTTTTAAAAAGTCAAAATTTTGGAATCTGTTCCTTTGTTTTAACTTGGACACCTTTCTGTTTTACTATATGCAGCACTATCCCATCATGTAAATGGCATCAGGATCCAGGAGTGGATGTCCCTTTGGAGGAACATTTAAATATATATATATTTACATATATATGCTTATTTGAAAATTCTTGATTTTTATCTGATAGGGAGCTTTCAATAAAACATAATTCTATTTTGAGACTTACCAGCTATTTAAATTTGTTTTTGTATTTCCATCTGAGAAATTTTTCAGATCTCTCAAATAGTTTATTTTCAAATACTTGGAAAAATCCCAGAATTTAAATTAAACTGCAAGGCCAGGCCATTCATTGTGCTTGGACTGATAGACTGAGGAAGCTCATGTCTTATTTTATACCTTAGTTTTTCTGTCACCCTCACCTGTGACTCCTGCTGTTTTTAAAAGAATGACCTGAAGACTTTGGTTTTTTGTTTTATTGTTTGTGGTTTTTGTTGTTGGTTTTGTTTTTCGAGACAGGGTTTCTCCATATTGCTTTGGAGCCTGTCCTGGTGCTCTCTCTGTAGACCAGGCTGGTCTCGAACTCACAGAGATCACCTGCCTCTGCCTCCCGAGTGCTGGGATTAAAGGCCTGCGTCACTAACAGTGGTTTGAAGACTTTATTTTACAGTTTGTCAGTATTCTTTTCTCCTCATCCATATTGGCTTGGAGAGGGAACCTTGTGTTTATGAAAAGAAAGTGCAAGTCTACTTCTTAACAACTAGAGTCCACTCATTGTCTTCAATGTTAAGTTAGTCTTTGCTTTGGAAAACATTGGGGAACAAGTCTAAAAGTTTGGAATTGCTTCCTAGAAAAGCTTGTTTTTAATAAGGAATGCTTCCTGAATAGCTGAGTAAAATAACTTAATAACTGATTAAATAACTTACTCTCTGCATTTGAAGGGTAGAAATGCAGGGTGGTAGGAAGCTCAAAGGACAGTAGGAAGGGGCTGTCTGCCTGTGGGCTATGTTTGGAAGATGTTCATTCATTGCTAAGGTTTTTGAAGCTCAAGCTGGGTGCTGGAATTGGTTTTAGGTATGAAAACTTACTGATTTTGATAATTGTTTCTTCCCCTTTTTTTGGAGATGCTGAGGTTTGAACCCTTGGTCTTTCACATGCCAAGCAAATGCTCTACAGATAAGTCTAGCTAATTTCTTATTCATTGTGAAATATTGAAAGAATTTTTTAAAAAATAAAGACATGACTTTGTGTACCATTTGGGATGGCCTCTTCAATTGTGTCCTCATATAATACTGTGCCTGGGAAATTGAAAGAAGCTCCTTTGATGTGTCAGTCATAGCACATATTCCTGTACTGCATATACGCTTAGAGAATATGTACATTAGAGATGCTAAGTTTCTTTGCTGCTAGCAAAGAAGAAGGATAGCTCGGTGTCTCTGGTAGACACTGTATCTGCTTCCTACAGAAATGGCTTTTTCTTTGCTTAGTTTCATTGTGTGTCTGGATATGGAATGTTTGTTAATGGAATATGGTGTCTTCCTTGAGTCTGTAGGGCTTTAAAAAAACAAACAAACAAACGACAATAGTAAAAGCCCCCTAGTTTTTATTATCCTGTTCTCTTTTGTAGTAACCTTTAAGATCAGTAGAAGTTTTAAAGTACCAGGTGTGGTGGCACCTGTACTACTAGTGCTGTGGAGGCTGGCCACATAGCAAGACACCCTCCCTCCGCCCCCACCAAAAAAATTTAGATTTTAAAGGACTAAGTAAAATTCCTTGGTATCTTTACAAGATTTTCATCATTTAAAATATTTGTGCTTATCACTGTCAGTGCACACAAAATTTTCATTAAGTTCTCTCAGGAGAATTATAGTGTATTTAAAATACCTTTACCAGAATATCTACAAATTAACAAAGTGGAAGAAGCTTTAATAATGACACATGATATTAAGTATG